CCCTATCGCTCCCGCCTTTTCCCGCCTGCTCGCTCCCACCCGCTCCCTCAGGATTGCTCCTGCCTGCTCGCTCCCTCCCGATTGTTCCCACCCGGCTTCTTGACGGGCTGCTGTGTTTTTTTTTTTTTTTTTTTTTACATTCAGATCATTCAGACTATTTCTCGATTTATGCATGTCATTCTTGCACAGACACCATGCTTATCTCGAAGGACAAGTACGGATACAGGGTACTGTGTTTTTTTTTGGGGCCTCATTTTCGAGAGTTGGTACCCTGTATCCGTAGGGTAAGGCACGTGTGTTATATTCGAATAGAACGCAACCCGTGCGTTCTATTCGTAATTAACAAACGTGCGTTTTGTCCGGGGGAAGACTGTATCTACTCTCGCAGATAGCGCACAAGCGCCTCAGCAGCACTTCAACACTTCTTGCGAAGCATATCTGCCCGAAATGAGGCTCTGCCCGAAATGAGGCTGGCCAGTCCTTATATTGACTTGAACTGGGCCTTGACTCGTCCCATCCTTCGCTTCTCTTGGCTTGACTTGGGCCCAGTACCAGCTGCCCGCAGCCTGTTTGCTTCAGAATGCTGAGGCCCGGTACCTCCCTCCGTTTCCTTGGTGTGCTGCTGCTTTTGGGTCTGTGTGACGTGACCTCTGACTCTGGGTCGTGACTTGTGACCCTTGCCTGTGGGACACGACTTTTGACTGTGAGATGTGACTCTTGCCTATGGGATGTGACTTTTGCCTCTTCGATGTGACTGTCGATCGGGCAGCCGTTGGACTTCGCCATCTAGAGTACCCCCGAGATAACCTTTCTGAAATTGGCCGACCTGGCATCTCGCGGCCTGGGTGGATTTTTGACCTTGAGATTTGAATTTGGGGTTGGCATCGTCGAATGCCTTTCATAAATAATAACAATTATTAATTATCATCTAATATTGAGTAAAAAACAAAAAGCGAGGCTGTTTGTCGAGGCGCCCGGGGATCCAACTTGTGCCGGGATACACGCCCGGGTCCGGCCGGGCATGAACCCTGGGCAGGGTTCCAGGCAGCCCCACTGCCAAAAAATAAAAACTAAAAAAAAATCGAACAGTTCCACAAAAAAAAAGTTGTGTAGAATTGCAATGCATACGACTTTCGGACGAGGGTCAGAGCAGAAGCTCAAAATGGACAAAATTAGTATACAGCCCGCTTGTAGCACTGCAATTCATTGCAAAGGCACCCCCCTTTAAACCCCTTAAAAAGACAATTTATACCGCCCCTGACAGCCAACGCTCGAAAAGTGAAATAAGCCTGGACTTGGGCTCCTCTGACCATGCTCAGAAAACCTCTAACCCCCCTTCGCCCCCCCCCCCCCCCCCAAAAAAAAAGAAGGGCTGATTTCTGCCCTGTGCAGGTGACCCCCGGGCGGCTTGCCCGGATTTCACGGCCGTTCTGCACGGCTGGGCGAGCCAAGTAGCCTAGACAAAATGTGAAAAAAAAGATGAAAAAAAAGAAATCAAGTTAGGAGTCTTATGAAAAACTTTCCCAACAGTCTGAGCTCAATTTCTTTCGCCGGACAATTAATTAGCGGCAGTTCACGTTGTGTAACCCAATGGAGGGAACTTCCGGCAGTGCAGAGGGAAACGCGTGAGGGGGATTGACAGCTTGGACAATTAACTAGGACAATTAATTAGGGGCAGTTCACGTTGATAGCGGCATGCGGTACTGATTGAAGGTGATGATGGGTATCTTGCACGCATGTCCTCAGGTGTGTATCTTGCACGCATGTCCTCAGGTGTGTATCTTGCACTCATGTCCTCAGGTGTGTATCTTGCACGCATGTCCTCAGGTGTGTATCTTCCACGCATGTCCTCAGGTGTGTATCTTGCACGCATGTCCTCAGGTGTGTATCTTGCACGCATGTCCTCAGGTGTGTATCTTCCACGCATGTCCTCAGGTGTGTATCTTCCACGCATGTCCTCAGGTGTGTATCTTGCACGCATGTCCTCAGGTGTGTATCTTGCACGCATGTCCTCAGGTGTGTATCTTCCACGCATGTCCTCAGGTGTGTATCTTGCACGCATGTCCTCAGGTGTGTATCTTGCACGCATGTCCTCAGGTGTGTATCTGTCTCTTATACACATCTAGATGTGTATAAGAGACAGGAGAAAATGTGGGGGCATGTGTGTGTTAGGGAGCTTTGTGTGTGTGTGTGTGTGTGTGTGTGTGTGTGTGTGTGTATGTTCTGAAGGACCCCTTATCTGTTTTGTATTTCGTCTGATGCGTATCAATTGTCCCAAAAGAAGAGAAAAAAAAAGTTGCCTCTTGACTTGGGTCATAGTTTCATTCAACTTCGTTTCATATGTTGTTGCCATAAGTTACCTGAGTGTGATGTTCGCATTGCTGATGAGTCTGTGATGACCAAATATCTCATCGAGGCTTTTTTGCCGTTTTCGGTGACCATTGCAAGCATTGCTTCTAGAAGGATAGTCAGCGTCAGTCTAATTTTCTTCATTGTCTCCCTGAGGAAACAGCATCTTTTTTTTTTTTCCTTTTTTTTTTTCCCCCCATGTCTGTCTGGGCATGAATGCTGTGTTTTACATGTATGCGTCCATCGCTTGGGAAAGGCAGGACAACTCATAGCATGCGCAACCACAACTGCATCATTCAGGCCATTCTCACACGAGGATTTTTTCTTCCAAGCTAGCTGTGGACATGATTGCAGTCAGATTCCCGTGTTGTTTCCCGAAGTATTTATTAAATTTTATTTATTTGCAACGATGTTGAAAGAAGTTCAAATAACTCAATTCCCGATGCACATAGACACAGTCTAGGGATTAATGGAGGCAAAAATAGCATCTCCTTCCCCCGGAAGGGTCTCAGAAAAGTCCTTCGATTTTATTTTATTTTAATCGGAAAAACAACTTCGAAAAAAAGGCCTTTGGTCAACAGGTACAGAGTCAAATGTCCGAAGAGGCAACCCATGCCCCCGGAAAGGGGTAGTCGACTGCGGGCTGTTAGTTTAGTTGGTACAACCCCCCTGGACTGAGCTGTTGAAATACAGACCTCAGTTCAAAGTTCAAACTCCACTGGAGGCAGCTGAGTAAAAAAATACTGCAATTCTGTACCACCTCGGGCCATCACATTAAAAAAAAGAAAAAAAAAGAAAACGGTAGTTGACTTTAGGGAAATCCTGGGGGGACAAAAGTCACAAAACCCAACTTGGGAAATCCTGGGGGGACAAGAGTCAGGGATTTCTCAGGAGTCAACCTTGCCCATAGATCTGATGGAGATCAAAGGCTGTCACCATTGTTCCAGAGGGTGTTTTTTTTTTTTTTTTTTTTTTTTTTTCTCTTGTGAGCCCCAACAGGTCCAGGCACACGCTAGCCGACAGCAATTCTGGGCCATCCAGGCCAAGGAGGCAAACTGAGGCAGGCCTACGTCGGCCAGTCAACGCGACGAAAGAGCTGTGTGCCGCAGTCGGCTCACTCAGTCTGCCTTGTGCGAGTTGCAGGCCAAACGGAAGGAGACAGCGCCAGCCCAGGAAGAAGAGAGGGATAGTAGCTAGGAAGTAGCTAGGAAGGGCGCTTGAGTGCCATAGCTATTGGATAGAGGTAGCGCAAGGAAGAGGGAGATCTGGACGTGCGAGGAGGGAGAGAGAGAGTGAGGGAAGAGTACCTTGACTTACCTGTTCTCTCTGGCGATACTGCGGCAGCAGTTTGCACTTGCGAACTGGAGATGGAAAGCGCCAACCTCCATAGCTGACCGTTGTTGGGCAGGTGGCAGGCATCAACCTCCATAGCTGACCTCTGTTGGGCGCCTGGTCGGACATCTCAGCACACATCTGACAGAAGACTTCATCAGCATAGTCAGGGCGGATGAGCATGTGAGGTGACCAGTCGCGGACTGAAGGTCCCGGAGCAGAAGGGGGAATTGAAAAGTGGATGCAATTGTAATCAATCGTTGACAGTGGTCAGCTATTAATGAAACTAGCTTCCTTCTCTCTACTGCTTCTCTCCCTTTGTCTCACTTCTGGTTACTCACAGCACACACACACACCTGTCTCTTATACACATCTAGATGTGTATAAGAGACAGGGTGTGTATCTTCCACGCATGTCCTCAGGTGTGT